GGCGCTGGAGCAGCTGAGCCCCTAAGCAGAGGTGAGGGGCCCATCTTGCAATCTCCTGGGGCAGGGGGCAGCTGTTAGCTGTCCAGCCTACACATAAGCCCCGCCCTTCCCTGCTGCGGTGAGGACACGCCCGGCCACACACCCATCCCTCAGACAGTGGTAGAAGCTGGGCCTTCCCACCTCCTCTTATGCCTGGGAGCATCCTGCCCCTGCCAGAGCGACCTTGTGCTCTGCAACCGGACCAGGCCCCAGGACAGCAGGCGGGGCCTGTAACCCCACCCCACAGGGACACTGCAGTGCAAAGCAAGGCTGCCTGGACGCCATGGGGAATGGTGCAAAGAGATGCTGACACAAGCTCCCCAGGTCAGAGACCCATCCAGGGCCCACAAGTAGCCAACTGGGGCTCTAGGGCTCGCCTGGAGGCATCCCAACCAGCTCCACCGCAGAGGCCCCTCGCTGGGAGGGAGACCCAGATGCTGCAGCAAAAGCCACTCAGTACAAATTCTGTGTGACCCCCTTCCCCTCACGTCACAGGTGAAGAACAAAGGCAGGAAGGGGGGGCACAGAGCCCCCCCGGCAAAGCAGCGGTCAGCCTGTGAAAGGAGAAGCAGTGGCACCCTCCCCAAGCACACAACCCCAGGGTAGCTCAGTGTTTCTGCTACAGATCAGCAGGGAAATAGTCAACAATGTTGATATTTAAGGATATAAGATTTACAATGGCTCAGAAAGCAGAGAGGCAGCTACCCCCCAATCAAATTCCAGAGCAGCTAAGATGCCTGACTGCCACTTGAGCCTAGGGAAAAATCTCCCCTTGGGTGGTCATCGGTAGGGCCCAGAGTTAACAGCCAATTGCAATGGCCAGGGCAATTCGCACCTTCGCAGGCCTAAATGCTGCACTGCTGGCGTGTAGCTTAGTAACAGGCCTTGGGAAAGAGACCCTTCCCCCAAGCTCGATCGCTTAGTACAGGACAGCCTGGATTGCCTTCCACAGCCAGCGTTACACTCTGTGAGCTTCACAAGCTAGAGCTCCCTACGCCCCCATTTGCCAGGGCTTAGACCTTGAGATCCACAAAATGTCAGTTCTGACCAGAGCCTGCCCCCTGCACCAAACTCCTCTAGGTGGGGTCCCTGCCCCCAGCACACCATGCCAGCAGCCTCCCTGCTCTCTTAACACCTTCCATCCTGACAGGTCAGTCTGTAGGGCAGGCCCCAATCGCCTCGCACTTGCACCCATGTGAGCCGGCACCAGAGAGGAGCACGAGGCCCGCAGCAGGGTCACATTTCGGACGGGATCTTCCCCACCAGGAAGGCTCAGACAGGGGCCACTGCTGTGTCTTATATGGTGCGGAAGCGGATGGACCCACCGGAGTCGGGCTGGGGTCGCAGCCCTCCGGGGATGGCTCAGTTTGAGCCTTGGGGCAAACGGCCTTATCTGGAGTCTCCCCACTACACAGCCGGGGTTCAGAGGCTCCATCTGCAGATGGATACCCAAGGTGATCCATAGCTTGCCACCTCCTGCTATTAACCAGTGAGTCTCCTGATGCGCGGGCAGCCTTGGCATTCCCCTCCGCACGCTGCCGCTCGTTAGTTGTGCAGGTCAATACCTGAGCAGGAACAGAGCGCGCTGGATGCCTGGAGAGTGAGGTTCCTTCCAGGGAGAACCTGCCCAGCAAACAGAGCAGCGTGGGGCATCTGAAGGGACCTGGCCCAAGGAGACTCTGCTGCTCCTGCCCACAGGACGGTCACGCGATTCCCTGGGGAACGGGTCTGGCAGCAGGGTGTCTCTAAACACAGCCAGACGGGGCTCTGGACCAATCAATACCCCCCAGGGACACTAGCAAAACAGAGCTCACTGCACGGGCAACGCCTAAGAGCGCCAGAAGGGAACGTCCCCCCCTCTACAGGACAAGCCGTAAGACGGGGGAATTGTCAGAAAATAAACAGTGTAGCTGTCTCGGACCCAGGATATTAGAGCGGCAAGGTGGGGGAGGAGGGGACATCTTGGACCTCAGAGCTCTTAATTTACGGGCAACTAGGGAAGGTCCAGGAGGCTCTTGTAAACAATCAGTCTCGATTTGGTTTGGTTTTTACATGAGAAATCCAGTCTCCTCTGCCCTGCAAGCTCAAAGCCAAACGACTGGGAAGGGGAGTGAGTTTCAGCCAGACATGAATATACTTGCGCACACATCTCTAACTGCACAATCCGCTGCCCCTTCTTCATGCCCCCCATAACGTGGGAGGTGGGGCTATTAAATAGTAACACTGCACTGGGGCTTGCTGACACCTTCATGGAAAACCTTTTCCCTGGAAAATCCCCAGAATACACCACGAGGCTGATACCTGCGGGGCTTGTGCACACTCCAGTGACTTTCACAGTGTCTGCTACATCAATCATCAGGGCCCAAGGCTTTTAAAAAAGATTTACTCTCCAGGCTCCATCACAGCCTGCTCCCCCTACCTGCTGTTGTCTTCTGAAGGACTCGGAGGCACCATCACGCTGATGTCTTCAGGGCCGGCTGTTGAGATCTGCTCCCCCTCCAGCATCTTAGGGGTGGATGAGAGGCCTGCTCTGCCCTGGGGCAGGGGACCCCCATTTCTCTCTTCTGCTTCGGCTCAGACTCCTCTAGCAGCAGCTCCCCATCCAGGTGGCGTGTGGGAGGGGTGCTGAGACAGCCGACTATGGCCTGGCTCCCCAGGCGAAGGGGCAGCAGCGGGCAGTTCCCTGCACCTACCCGCTCAGGGATGGGCACTATCCTGCCCCGCATGGGGTACCTGGGGGCTTCTCACAGCCAACTGGGCAGCAGAGCAACCTCTGGGCTTGGTCCCCTGGCCCAGCAACCCATTGCACCTGCCTCCCCCGGGCAATGACCCAGCCACACAGGGACTCTCCCTGCCTGCCCTACGCTCAGCGGGCACAGGGCCCAGTTCTCTCCAGGGCAGTTTCCCCATAGCGCCAGCCCAGGGGGCACATGTGAGGGCAGGGGGGCCGGCAGGGACCAGGGGGGCTGAGCCAGGTGCAGGGGGGTGCTGAGAGCCAACTGTGACGTTGGAGATGATGATAACCACGTCAGGGGAGCTCTGCTGCTGCCCTAGTCCCTGCTCCCAGGCCAGGCCGCTGGCCAAAGGGCCCCCCCGTCTCCCTGGCTGGGCCCGGCAGCGCCAGGGCGCTACGCGCTCAGCCCGAGCCCGGCCCGGCGGCGCCGCCCA